CCTCACAAAGGGTGACACCTCCCCAGCATGCACCCAGGGGACGGGACCAATGCGGCAGGGGCTGGTTCCTCGCTGTTTCCAGACAGCCTTGTGGAGCTAAGACTGAATGCGTTTCAGCATAGAGGGCCACCACAAAATTGTACATTGGCTCCCTCCCGGCCGGCCTGGGCCAGGGCCAAGGCAGTGGGGGCTGTTCCCTCACTGTTTCCAGGATGGCTTTGTGGGCCACATGAAACCACTTCACAGGCCGCATCCGCCCCCCAGGCCTTGTGTTTGACATGTCTGTGCTAGATTGTGGCTTAGGTAGGACATTTTCTTCCCTGGCTCACAAAGCTCTCAAACCTCACAAAGCTCTCAAACCCACTAGAGATATCCGTTTTATGATATCTTCACAAGGAGGCTCTGAATAGAGAAAACTTGTGGGTGATCCTGGTCCCTTCCTTTATCTGGAAAGGAATTCCAAGGAACCAATCCATTCACCGGTTCCACTTTTCACTTCAAACATCACTCCATCTTCCCAGAGCCATCCATTCGGTCTTCCATTGCTCTTCTTGAAATTGGAAGCTCAGATCATTGGTCCGATGTAAACTCCCTTTTGCAAAGAGCTCTTGGGCAAGGAAGGAGCTGGCTCTGACAAGAGGGAAAACAGGTTGCTTTTGGCTGTTTTTCCCTTTTACGCGATGGTCCAAGAACACAACAAAAAAGGGTGTTTTTGTGCACTCCAACTCAAGGAAGGCCTGCTTTGCACTTTTTTTTTTCCTTTTGCAGTGCAAAGTTAGCTCCATATAGTCCAGGAAAGGGATGTTTTAGCACATTTCAACCCCTTTAAGCTGCTTTGTGCTTTTTAAATCCTTTTTTGCTGTGTGTAATCAGTCCCATATGGCCCGGCAGCCAGGCCAGGTATGCCTCATCAGCAGCAGGAACAAGAAGGCAGTGAAGGTGAGCTTGAGGCACAGAGCGGCATTGATGGTGGTCAGAGACGGTGGGAGAGACATTTTTTTCAAGCAGGGTGCTTGTGAAATAGATAGAAAATTATTCTCTTTGTTTTCTTTTTCATTGATTATATTATTGTTCTATTATTTTACTTATGTTTTATTTACACTCTTTTCATTTCTTCCTTTTTATTGTTGTAAGCCACCCAAAGTAGCCCCTTTGTGAGATAGGCAGCAAATAAATTTAACAATAAATAAAATAAATAAATATGCACAATAATGGGGAAATACTGAAAATCCCACAATAGAGGAATAGGCAGTAAAGATGTCAGAATTATCAGAAATGGTGAAACTAACCTGTATGGTCAGGGATAAAACAATAAGTATCTTCTTAAAAGACTGGAATTTTTTTAAATTTGGACTTTTTTGCTGAAAAGAGATAAAAATTGAAGTGCTGATTTATGGATGTTGATGACTGAAAAAGAACTAAACAAGAGGCTAAAAGGATTTTTGTAATATTAAGGAGGGAAGGAGGCTGGATAATAAGCTTGTTAATTTCTGTTGCAAAGAAAGCTAGAAGTCATTTAAGTCCCCAAAGTCTTTTTTTTCAGACTTTTGTTCCCTATAGGTTCTTCTTTTTTATGTATTTCATTTTCTTCTTTTTGTACCCTGAACCTTTTCTTTTAATTTTATTTTTTTTCTTTTAGATTTGTCTTTCGTTGTTTGAAATAAATCATTAATAAAATCATTAAAAATATATTTAGAATGTGTTAAAATAACCGGGTTGACAATATATAATAGAAAGAAATTTTATTTGGGTGGGAAAGGCATAGACCTCCTCTCCAAAAATGAAAAGTTTCCTCAAAACAAGGGACAAAACATGCCCTAAATAGCAAAAAAGTTATTCAATAAAGCAGTTTTTTAAAAAATGCATGGAAACCAGCAATAGCATCAGAGGTTTATATGGGGGAACAATGCAAGGTTCAGTCGACAGTAAGGAAACAGGAAAAAGATATTAATGAAAAGACTTCTTGAAGAAGTTATCCATGTATAATCAGTCCCTCCCACCTTGGTCCCAGAAACTAAACAATTGACACAATCAAATACTATAAACCTTCTTTAAATTATGGAGACAAGCAAAAATAATTATAGTGCATATCAAATAATTACACATGAAACTCTCCATAGATTTCTTCAGTTCATTAGAAACCAATGACTATTTCTAATCAACTCATATTTTAAAATAGCATACATTTATACTATTTTTCAGAAATATAAATTCATTTCAAATGCACAGAAAAATAAATCACAAGACAATTGCAGAAGAAAAATCTGGGACCCAAAGAATACTCACTGCTCGTAATAATTGAATCAAACTCCTATGCTGAAAAGGGAATATATGCTTTGAGTAGCAAACAGGGCCCAGACTTTGTCCTTGCATTATACTTGGGAATTTTTAGATGCAGCTCATTTGATGCTTTTAAGCAGAGTCACTATTCAGCATCCAACCCTTATCTTAAATTCATATAAATTTCTTCAGCTGAATTAAATTAATCTTGCATATTTTCACCTTTGGACTACTTTCACATTTTGATTTTTTTAAAATTAATCTTAGATAGGAAATAATGGCTACTACTGAATGTTCGAATTCTTAAAATGTTTACATTTAACACCAATATCAAAAACATTAGGAACAATTCATCGTAACAATAAACATATATTTGTTTTCTGCTGTATGCAGAATAAAATGAGAATGCCTTCATAGTTGCTTGAGTATACAGAGTTGACATTTCTTGTTTTACATTAACAGTATACTAACAGTACTGTCACTTTTTTTGCTTATTTTCTCATAGTTGTAATGTGTTCCTTTTCTAGTTTAAATAAGGATTTGCACACAACTGTATATGTTGGATAAAAAACAATCAATATTCAGTTGATACTTCTAGAATACAATCTATCTCTTGCAAGGATTGGCAAATATGCCACGTCTCAGAGCAAATCAGAGATTAGGATGTGACAGGAAAAGCAATTCTCAGCTTTCTCCTTATGAAAGCGGTTGCTCCACAAGCCACCTACAGACAGATTTGCTACTGAATAAAGTTGGTTTCTCCAATGGGTGTATACTTGCAAAACTCAGACAAGACAGAACAGGTAAACTTGCAAACAACAGTAATACTGCTTACTCATGCATCAGTGTCCTACATATGAAATTTAATAACTAAATAAATAAAAATCAGAGCTAAACCCTGAGCCACATCTTAAACACTGGAATGCTTCAACTACAAATCCATGGTGGAAAGTGGCAGTGGATGATTAGAGATGATGTCACTATAACCAAGCAAGTATAGAGTCCTTGCCTTCCCTTCTCAAACAAAAAAAAGGAACTTTTCGCTTAAAACATGTACAGTCATTTTCGCAGGAGTTGCAGCCCTCTCACTATTTTATCTTAAACTGTGCACAGATGGCAAGAAGAATCGGGTGAAAGAATAAGGATGAGGAAGGCAAAAAATGGGTTTTGACCGTGCGTGTGTGTATGTGTGTGTGTGGGGGGGGTTCTGTGTGTGGGGGTGAAGTTGGTCCCTATTGTTGGGGGGGGGAGTTGGTCCTCTATTGTGGAGGGGATGCTCACTTGGCCTGTCTGGGGGGGGGGACCCGTAATGAGGGATGCTAGTGGGCGAAAGAGAAAGAACCTGGTCCAACTCCCCAGAAGCCAATGTAAAAGGTACGTGAAGGGGGCAGCCGGGCAAGCTCGAGGGGCATCAGCCTGTCACAGAACTGCGAGCGGAAGAGAAACGGGAAGCTCTGCGTCGGTCTACCCGATCGAAAAGGTGCGCCTCGAGAAGCCCCGTGTCGAGGTACGAAGCAGGAGACGGGCAGGTGCGAACGCTCCTTTCCCTCCCCCTGGTTACCTGTGGAAAGAGACGGCCGCTCGGCCCCGGGCAGCTTTGCCCTGCCGGTTGGAGCAATTCAGTGCCGCGCAACAGATCACCATCGCTGGAGGCCGCACAGGCGGCCCTGCCTCAACCCCCTCTCCGCCCCCCCTTCAGCCGTACAACAAGATGGCGAAGCCAAGCAAGTCACACAGCTGTCTCGCCACACCCTGCAAAGTAACTTCCGTACGGAAGAAGCTGTCATTCAGTTACACCCCCATATGCCTTCGGCGGCACAGTATATGAGCGAAGCGGCTCTTACAACCACCAGCAACGCTCCTTAATTCCCTTTTTCCCCCTTTGCATCTCACCGATTGACTCGCTGTCAGGCAAACTAAAAGCAGCGAAGAATAGCTACTCTGTTGTTGGGCCAATGTTGTTAAAACCACGCTACGCTGCGAATTACTTGAGAGCGCCATATTGGGTCAAGGGGGTGGTGTTTAATACTCCGTACAAGAATATGGCGGCTCCCTTCTACTTTCTACTCCTGAAAATACCACATGTCATTTAAACTACTCCGAGGGATGAAAAGCAGTAAATGGTAATTAACGATTTTTTTTTTCCTGCTTCAGAAGCAAAACAAGGCCGATTTAAGTAACCTTGTTCACCCATCGCTCTCTCCGTAAAACAAAATGGCACCTGCCATACAGCGGGAGAAACCATTGCATCTGAAACGAACCAATCGTCGCTTAAATGAGCGGTGAACAATTCCGCGATTGGGTGAGAGCAGCGCTGTGGGATGAGAAGTATAAAGTGCGCCGCTTTGGAGATCTGTGTCAGTCAGGAGACAGCCGTGGGCCCCCGGAGCTTGAGAGGGCGGGGGCAGGATGGACGCGGGTGAGTGGGGAAATGTTTGGTGGGGGATAACTGGGAAAGCTGCGTGGGTCGACATGCAGCTGTCTAGATTTGAGGTAGCGGGCAATGGGTGTGGAAAAGAAGGAGTCGGTTTGTTTTTCAGCAGAGGGCTAAATTGCGGACTGGGCTAGTCGATGGAACTGTGAGCATGGCTTGCCTAAAAGGGAGAGGTCGATGGAGGGTCCGTTATGTTGCCTTGGGAACTGTGTTTTCTTACAGTTTTTTCTTTGTTAAATGACTGTGATCAATAGAAGTTGTTAAAGCAATTTGGCTAATATGGTACTTTTGTCTTGTCTTCTCTTTTCAAATAGAGGCAACTATACTATAACAAAGCCTGTCAAGTTTAAGATACGTTGTCCAGCCTACCCATTTTTTGCGTGGTTTATAAAGCTTAGTGCTGGTCATTCAGTGCTTAGATGTATGGAACTAATCTTAAAGTTTTCTAACATTTATAAGGACCCAAGGTTCTTGTTTTTAAGTAGTTAAAGTGAATGCACTGATTCCTTATATAACTAACTATAATGACCTGAGATGTGATGGAAGAAAAATAATGCTGTTTTAATGCTGCCTACCAATGTGCCATAGCCCATATGGGAAAAACTAAGAATCTAAGGCAAATGGGTAATACTCTTCTTTTCATCCATTTCTTGATTTCCCCCAAAGAGATAAAAAACAAATAGCATTTTATGTAAAGATTTGTACTTGGTTTTGCTGTCTGAATAAGATTATGAAGACAAGTACAGTGTTTTGTAGTAGGTCTACACCAAACTGAATTCTTATTGAAACTCTCAAATACATCTTAGTTAAGTGATAGTTAAGGATTTTTATTTGTTTATTAATTTGGTGTCTTCAAATCAGCCTGACGACTTCCTGGAAGGATTTTTATTTATTTGTTTATTAATTTGGTGTCTTCAAATCAGCCTGATGACTTCCTGGTCAAAAACTTCCTGAAGTTTTCTTAACGAAGTTTTTCTGAAGTGGTTTGCCATTGCCAGCTTCCTAGGGCAGAGAGAGTGTGACTGGCCCAAGGTCACCCAGCTGGCTTTGTGTCTAAGGCAGGACTAGAACTAATGAACTCCTGGTTTTTAGCCTACTGTCTTAACTATTACATTAAATTGGCTCTCTAGTTAAAGAATGAATTTTGAAAATTCTCTTTTATTTAGTGATATTTCATATACAATTGATAATTGATTCTAAAGCATATAAAATACATGTTTTTTCCATATATCAATACTATTCCCATCAATTACAATGTTACTGCAATCCTATATGATATACTGTACTTAGGGAATAAGGCCCAGATAGAATGCACTTCTGAGTAAATATGTTTTCGATATTTAAATAAATGTATGTCCAGCTTGGCTCCTATAACAGTTGTTTCCATCTCATTAGTCATTTTGTGTTTTGGCCATTAGCAGAATAAATCTTTATAAACTTCCTTCTCTCCATCTTTATTTGAACTTATGTTAATATTATATAAAGATAGACGGCTGAGTAATATTAGTTTGTTTTTTAAGTTCAGTCCTGAAATTTGACATTCCCTTTTTCTGTTTTTATTTTTATTTCCCATTTAATCTCCCATGTTAATTCTGATATGATAATTTAAATGTTGGAATATATGTATTAATAATATTTTAACTTCATGTAAACAGTGTATTGAATGCAACAAACTTGAGACCTCACAGCAAGTGCAAAATGAACTTTGTTATATATTTATGACTAGACTGAGGAAAAAGGCTTAGCAGTCTTTTCTTGGAACCTCTCACATTAAATGCCATTCTGAATCACATGGTGTATGGGACATGATGTTCTCTAAGGCAAGGTTGCAGAGTATGTGAAATTTGAACTGAATGGGTTATCTGGGCAGTAATTTTTTGATTTAACAACTATGAGGCAAATAGAGGGATGTGATGTAGATTTACACTAGAGTGCACTGTACTGATTCTCAGTTCTTTTTTTAAAAAAAAAATTAAGTACAACAAACTTTAATCTCTGAAAGCAGAGAAGCAAATAGATGCCCACAGTCAATTTGGGCTTAAAGTAGAGTGGAATGAGCTACAAATATTCTTTATTGGCAGAGTGGAATATAATCGTTTAAGAGGTTGTAAAATGAAAGGATGAAAAGAGCCAAATATAGCAAAAGGAGAAACTTGTTCTAAAGCAGCGCTTTTCAACCTTTTCACCCATTGTACCACTTTTAGGATATGGCAACATCCAAGTACCACCAGTCGCCTAGCAAGGTGTCAAAAACTTGGTGACCCCCCCCCCAAAAAGGAAAAAACTGATGAAATACAGGTAGTCCTCAATTTACAACAGTTCGCTTAGTGACAGTTCGAATTTACAGTGGCACTGAAAAAAGTGCCCCACAAGTCACAGCTGAGCAAGACACCTGCCTGCCCACCCGGTGGCGCTCTTCCTCCTGTCCAAGGTTTTCATTGTTGTGAGCATTTCTGTTGAGGATTGGCAGCAGGGGTGGAGTGGGGGTGTTTGGCTTTTATTCCCCCCATCTGCTGGGTGGTTGCAGGTTTTGGTTACTTCACATGACCCTCAGACACTGTGACCGTCATAAATATGAATCAGTTGCCAAGCATCTGAATGTAAATCATAAGACCCTGGAGATGCTGCAACATTCCAGCTGATTGGTGCTTCTTCTGGGCTCAGCAGAAGGGCCAGGATCAGCGCCGAGCTCCAGCTGGAGCCTGGCACTGATCCTGGCACTTCCACTGAGCCCTGACAGTCCCGAAGAAGCGCTGATCCTGGGGCTTCCGCTGAGCCCTGACAGCCCTGCAGCTCCAGCCATCTCGCTCAGGCTTGTGCGGTGCTGCCACCGGTTCAGCTCATTCCCCTCCCCCACTACCACTTTTCTAGGATGGTCGTGTACCACCTGCCAGGTGCCAATGTACCACAGGTGGTACCCGTACCACTGGTTGAAAAGCCTTGTTCTAAAGCATGTGTGCTATTATTAAGAAGACTTCCCATCTAGCCCATGCCCTTTATGCTTGAACATCTGCACATATTTATACCAGTCTTGATTTTGGCAAGGCAGTGCCTGATGTTTAAAGATGCTGAAAAGAATCTTGAATCTTGAGCCTAAGTAGAAGGTTAATGTTCCGTCTGATGCTTCTTGATAGTAACCCATTCCATTACTATTAAGGTCACTTGAAGGCAGGCAAGGAACCAAATGTAGTTTTAGTGTAGTAAATATGTAAATTGTAGTCATAGTACTGAATCGTTGCTTTACAGAGTGATGCTTTTTTGGTAGAAAGCATGATCATGTGATCACTGTATTCTCTGAATAAAAGATGAAAAATTAAGGCTAGTCTTTCAGTTCCTTCATACCATGAAGAAAATGGTTATTACTGGCATTTGATAATGTGCTAATTTTCAAAACAGAGTTGGATCAGACCTACAGTAATCTAACAACCCTCCTCCCCAATCTTAGAAAATGTCTAAGAAAATGTGGGAAGGAAAATATTGTTTTAGTTTAATTAAATCACAATATTTTCTGCCTCTGCTGTTTGATGTTAGAACCTGGAACATAATTGCTATTTTTTCATCATCTAAAACATTGTTGAAAAAGAAAACCTTTTTTTGAATTTTGAATGGCAGATCCTGAAAAGTATTTGAGACTGCTTTGTTTGTTTGTTTTGAGCAGCTACTCTCACTTACGATACTCTCAGGTTTGAGTACGAAGACTTCCCAGAAACCAAAGAGCCTGTTTGGATCCTGGGAAGAAAATACAGCGCACTAACAGGTATTTCTTCTGCTAATATTTCAAGGGCTTTATGATTCTGTACCATGACTTGAAATCTGCTGTCTCTTTATAGATTTGACATGCCTTAGAATGCATGTAGGCTAGTTTCCTGATCTTATTCTGGATCAGCTCTGCCATCCTAACAAACACTTTGCTTTCTGCTGAACCTTTTAGAGAAAGCATGTATTTTGCAGATAATAGATGCTAGATGGTGTTCTACTTTCCTATTGATATGAGAGAGAAATCTGAAAAAGCTTAAATTGTTCCCATCCCCCCCAAAAAACTAAAGTTTACTATTTTATATGTGCTGTACCAGAGGTCCCCAACCTTTGGGCACCAAGGACCGGTTCCATGGAGAGAGGTTTTTCCGTGGACCGGAGGGGGCGTGGTTTTGTGTGCTGCCTGCATCCTGCGGATGGGACTTTGTTTGTGCGGAATGGTTGCTGGCATGCCACGGACCAGTACTAGTCCACAGACCGGGGGTTGGGGACTCTTGTGCTATACTATTCTTAACTTTAAATGTTAAATAAGACTAATTAAAAATAAATATATTTCAGTTAACAGTTATAATTGAAACCATGTAATCTAAGTTCTGCAAGTGTATTGAAACATTGTTTTTATCCCATCAGAGAAAGAAGAGATTTTGTTGGATGTCACTTCTCGTCTTTGGTTCACATATAGAAAAGGTTTTCCAGCCATTGGTAAAAACCAGTTTTCATTTTCCAGATTGTTGTGGAAATGGTGCTTATTTATTTCTAAAAATCAGATTCACATTTACAACCTAAAGAAGCCAATTAAAATATTAGTATGGCATATTCCTTGGTTATGAGATGGGCGGCAAATAAATTTCATAAATAAATATTCCATTTAGTGTCTCTTAACCATCTTGACATTTGAGTTTGTACTCAACTATCTAGGTTTCAGAAAATAACATTGGCTAATGGTCTGTTGCGAACCTCTGTATATATTTTCACTTTATTGAAAATAAGATTCTTCCACTTTTAAAATAGTATGGAAGGATGGAAATTGCAGAAAATAAAAAGGTGTTCTTTTTTTAAATCAGAGTTGTATATTTATTTAAAACGTATAGCCACCCATCTTTCAAACTTTATATCATTTAGATCAGGGGTGTCAAATTGCCGGCCCGCGGGCCAGTTGCATCATGCGGAGGCCGTGCCCACCCCAGCTCCGGCAATGCAAAAAAAGTCACGATACGTCGCAACACGTCACGTGACGCAACAAGTTTGACACCTGTGATTTAGATCAATTGTTTTTTTTCCTTTCTATTTGCATGAAGATTAAAAAGCAAATGACAAAAATAGAAAAGTCTTCAAGTTTGAAAAGAATTTATTTGTCTTTCTTAAAAATTCTCATATAGTTGTTGTTCCTGCATATAAACATAGAGGCTGAAAAGTATGTAAAATTCATGTTTTAAATATCCATAGTGCACTTGGGCTGCATATTTAAAAAATGTCATGTCTAATATTTTGGGACTTAATTATTCATCTATAAGTATTAATATATAGGAATTGATCATGTTTTTTGAAATGGTTAGGAAACTTTAAAATTATAACCATATACACATAGATTTATATTTAATAACATCTTTTTCTAAAATGTGTATATGTTCTCTTTTTATTTTCCTCTCTAATTTACTGACTTGATGAGTAGACAACAACACAAGAGAAGGAAACAAAGTATTAGCCACATTCAATAGGATATAACCCTATATACAGTATGTAGTTGCATGTTCCCTTATATTCTGAGGGGTATAACATCAGAGCAGCATATTTATATTTACAATCATTTTGACTTCTGTCCGTCCCCCCCCCCCCCGATCTTATTCAGGTACATCATAAAATTCAAATGCTTCAAATTATTAGTGATTACTTGTCAAAAATTTTGGTTTGTGTGATCTGTTTATGGCTGCAGGGGGAACAGGTCCGACATCTGACACTGGTTGGGGTTGTATGCTAAGATGTGGCCAGATGATTTTTGCCCAGGCTTTGGTTGGCAGGCACTTAAGCAGAGGTAAGTCGCACTACTGTGACAATTATAATGCAAAATCAGGATGCTCAAGTAACACAAGGTCCAGCATAAAGGTGTTTTTCACTGTAAAGGAATGCATACTGAAGCAGGCCTATTTGCATATATTCCAGTTCCCCTTGGTAGCAGCAAAATCTATAATTCTTATCATGGGAATAAGATAGTTAGGACACTGGGTTGACAATCACGAAGTCTACATTTAAGTGCCGAGTGCTGCTGTGTAATTAAGCTCTTATCATTCGCTCCAGCTGACTTCGCAGTTTGAAAGTGTGTAAAAATGCAAGTAGATAAATAGGTACCACTTTGATGGGCCCGTTAATGGGGACATGAAAGGGCCCCCCAGTCGGGCATCTCCTGAACAATGGTGATGTCACCGGCTAATCCTTTCACTCTGAAAGCGCCACCAGCACAAATATGATGACAACTCTTCTCATGACTAAAAGGGCTGTGGTAATTGATATGTTTGATGATTAGATCAGTTTACTTCTTGCAGTGTAAACTATATTTTGAACATACATTTTTCCATAGAAATTAAATATCGGTAGTGTTGATTGTGAAATACAATAAAAATAGAAGCAGAAAAATGTTTGCCATTTTACACGCAGATTGTATTTGAAGTTATCTTTTCAAGCAGTTTCAGACTATATTCATCAATCTTTTGTATTAGAAAGGATTTGTTTAAAGCAGGCTGATTATTTTGGTATGAATACCTTGAAAATGTAAAGGTGGCAGTTGGATTTTCTTTTGTTTTTTTAGCATTGCCTTTTGTTTCTTAGATTGGAGGTGGATGAAAGGGAAGAAACAGATAGACAACTATTACAATGTTCTCAATGCTTTCATTGATAAAAAGGACAGTTACTACTCAATCCACCAAATAGGTAAGATGACTACCAGCATTGTGGGCAATCAAATGCTTCAATCTGTATCTTCCTCTTTAATAGAAGTAGAAAGGTTCTGAGTTTATTAGTTTAGGTAGCCTATTTAAAATACATGTTTCTCTATGAGAATATGTCCATTTGCAAATATAATATAAATTACTATCTGTTTTATTATTGGAAATTGAGTTAGGGAAATAGTAATGTAGAAACTAGTCCTACCTTTCAGTTTCTTTTACTGTAGATCTAGGTCAGTGTTGGCGAACCTTTTAGACACCGAGTGCCCAAACCGCAACCCAAAACCCACTTATTTATCACAAAGTGCCAGGGGCGCATCAGCATTGTGGTGCCCTCGGCGGGGGCAGGTAGGTGCCTCTGAATGCCGCCTCTGACACGCAAAAACCGGGGGTGCAAAAATGGGCCACTGTGCTGCAAGGAGCAAAATTGGCCGCCGCCATGCCACGGGGTGCAGATACAAGGCGCTGTACCACGCAAGAACAGAGCAGGGCTAATGAGTATCACGCAGGCACTAACCCCACCCCATTTGTAGCACGTGCATGCTCGTGGCCCCTTGCGTGCATGCACGCATGTAAAATGCTTCCCCCTCCCTTTTCTTCCAGTCCACCAATCGACAATTGTTGGTAACCTCTGCTCTACCACCTCTACTCGAGCTTGCTAGTCGGCCGCTTCGCCTCCTTTGTGCTGGGCGGGGCTCCTGCTCTGGGCGGCGGTGGCAGCCTGATGGACCTGCTGCTGGCAACGGTGGCGCACGTGCCAACAGAGAGGGCTCTGAGTACCGCCTCTGGCATGCGTGCCATAGGTTCGCCACCACTGATATAGGTTATTTAGGTTAAGGAGCCGTGGTGGGGCAGTGGTTAGAATGCAGTATTGCAGGCTTGAGTCTCACTAGCTCATGATTGACTCAGCCTTCCATCCTTCCAAGGTCAGTAAAATGAGGACCCAGATTGTTATGGGCAGTATGCTGACTCTCTAAACCGCTTAGAAAGGGCTGTAAAGCACTGTGGTATATAAGTCTAAGTGCTATTGCTATTATCTAGGAACAAGACATTTCAGAATAAAACTTAATTGTGTAAAAGCCAACTGCTATACAAATTAGAAATAAATTCCAGTGAGCTTAATGGAATTTACCTTTAGAATTGAGCTTGTCTATATTTTTTCCCTTATAACTTATACAGACAACACATTGGACTACTTTACATTTTCTGTCAGAGAATAAATCTATCCTAAAGAAATTTTATTCTGTGAATTATAATATGCAGTAAGCTAACCCTTCAATTTGCCTTTAGCTTTAAATTATGTAAACCATACATACATGTACCCTACTGTAATCCCTTTCAGGATAAGCAGTGTTACACAAAGTGAAACAAGGGAATCAGAAATACTAAGCCAAGGTAATTAAAAACATGAGCCAAGGAGAGGAAATATAATGTCTGTTTTATACCAATACTTTTCACTATACCTCTTCATACCCTTCTCTCCTTACAAAACTCCTGTTATGCTTATGGCAGTTGAAAATACTTCTTTCCCAAGCACAAATTCAGAGGTATCTTTAGCAAAATTTACTAAAATAAAATAGCACAAGGACTGCTGCATATGAACAATTTTTCAGTTTAGAATGAATCTCTGTGTACATCAAGGCAGAAAATTTCTGCATCTCTTTCTCACTGCTTTATGATGTACCAGAGGGATGGCAGTTCTCATCACTGTTAACTGGGAACTCTGCAGCTGGTTACAGAGTTTACATAATGGTGGTTGCACTTTACATAAAAATTGCATGAATCTCTATCAGCCTAAGAAACAACTCTTATACCACCTTTGCTTCCACCATATCCAAACATCGCTTCATTCTTTAAAGTTCTCAACTCTTTTAGAAAATCCTATTAGTTCCATCCAATGACAGTTTTCCTCCTCCTTTCAACACAGCCACTATTGATTTATAATTTTGTCTTACAATTTGACTTTCAGTCATTCTCCATACATGACCAAACTACCTTCCCATATTCCCTTTATAATGCTAACTATGTGTTTAATCCATATTTATTCCTTGTGCTCAATTTATATTCATTCAGCATTTACTCATTCTGGGCACTATCTCTTCTTGCCACACATACTTTTTAAACATCCCAATCTCCCTGCATTCAACTTAATGTTTATGATTTTGCAGGCATATCGAAAAGTGGCTACCATATAAAAAAAATGGGAAGGAACACACTCTTACATGTATCCATTTTTTTGCTTCTTTCAGCAAATATTTGTTCCCCTCAAAGAGACCACATGATTGATACAACCATTTTCCATTCTTTCTGTTGGGAGGCTATATTCTAATACTATTAATACAGGAGTTGTATTTTCTTTTCCTCAGTCATGATACATTGGTTTTTTCCACTGTTTTTCTTTTATTTCTTGACCATTGTCTCCAAAGATTCCTTCCTGACACAATAAAAAATGGTTTGCCTTATATACAGAATCTCTTTATCACCATTCTATCTTTCACTCATTCTCTAATCTTTCATCATAAACAATCTAATAAAATCAGTCATGCATGAATAGCCTTCTGCCTTAAACTATCCATTTGAAACAAACTTTTTCCTAAGCAAATACTTGCTAAATAGCCACTGTTCGCATTCATTCTTTGGTCTCCAAAGGGCCCAGTTGCCTGTTCCTTTTGCATTCTTTTATTCCCACCCATCCATTCATGTCACTTAACAAAATAATTTCATTCATTTTTCCTAAAACTCATTCCTGCCTCTTCCATTGTCACCATTCATTGGAGTAAAACACTCTACTGCTACTAATCTATGGATTTGAAAGCTGTAGCTGGTGGGTGCAAGGTGGTATACTCACATAACACCTCTCTTGTATGAGCTGTACTGGCTCCCAGCAGGCTTCTGGTGCAATTCAAAGTGCTGATGTTACCTTTAAATCCCTGCCTATCTTAGGACCAGATTATTACCGATGGTATTTGTCTTAGGGAACATCTTCCCCTCCAGAGATATGAATGATCCCAACTCTGGCGGCCTTTAGGAAAGCAGGGGGAACATGGTTTTCCCCATTCCGGCATTCATGCCAATATGTTGATTCAGCTCATATGGGGTGGTTTATTAATGAATGCATTTTATTGGGGCCGCAACATTGTTTTTTGTTTTAAATGGGTTTTTTTTACTCTCATAGTATTGCAATTTTTTTTGCTACTGCAGTTCTTTCTGGTAGATGAGTAGTCATATTATTAAAGTTTATTAAACTTTGTTTAATAAAGAAATAATAATGTAATTACTTTCATATACATTTAGGTACAGTAACCAGAAATTGCCAGTTTATTTCTTCTGTCCATTCAAATCTTCCCTTCCCTTCCTAGTCTGTACTTTTTTACCATTTCCCTATACAATATCAGACCTCCTTCCTTCAGATCTGTTATATTCTTTCCCCTTTTTCTTAGTTTCTTACGACATGCAAGCTCCTTCCTTCTATTCCTCTTTTCCCCCCCTTTACTTTGATGCTTAGTTCTAGATCAGGGGTAGTCAACCTTGGCTCTTTTATGACTCGTGGACTTCAACTCCCAGAATTCCTGAGCCAGCTAAGCTGGCTCAGGAATTCTGGGAATTGAAGTCTACGAGTCATAAAAGAGCCAAGGTTGACTACCCCTGTTCTAGATAATAAAGTCTTCTTTGAAAAAGGCACAGCAGACATTTTGGTTAAGATTCATTTTAAACTAGCAATTTGTTCAAAATAGCTATTTAATAATTTTGCCAAAGTGACTTCTATTATGTAAGGCTTTTTTGTCACCATTTTGTCTGTTTTTTCTCTCTATGGAGAATAATCTCTTGCTGTGAGAATCATTTTTGAAAAAATCTGTTGAGACATTAGTTTTAGATATGTTTTTATCTGATGCAGAATCCTTTAACTTTACTAGCAAACACGAAGAGAAATAAATGACTGAAGGACTTAAGGATCCATAATGAGAAAATATGGCATTTTATCTTAAAGGAATTAATGGGAATACAGGAAATGTTCTGTGTTGGATACTAAAGAGAGAAGTTGCATTTCTACTCAGTGGGAACATCTCTCAGAATAGGCTGTTGTCCTGCATCAGAATGAGCCATTCACATTAAAACTCATAATCTGGAATGTATAGCCCCCAGATTGCACCAAAAATGGCAAAATAAGGTATTACTGCTTATTTTTTCACTTTTTAAAGAAGTACATCTTTGCAAGGCTTCATCTATATATTTCCAACCATTAAAATTCTTTCATATCTCAACAAATGAAAAAGGCCAACAGTTTTCAGCTATGTTCCCTCAGCAAGATCATCATTTCGCCAGACATTTTGCTTGCAGCCTCAGAGATCAGATTTTTAAATGCTCCCCAAGAAAAAAAAATCTTTGCCCTAATTAGCATAACGATTTTATAGTAGCAAGGAATGGCAATAAATCAATGTTTCTCAACCTTGGCAATTTTCAGATGTGTGGATTTCAGTTTCCCAAATTCTGGGAGTTGATATCCCGACTTCCTAAAGTTACTAAGGTTGACAAACATTGCAATAGACTAATATGCCTGGAATTATTTGTTCTTGTTTTGAAGCCTTAGGGGGATTTCGTATTCCAGACAAGGTAGAAAGATTTTCCCTGATGAATTATTATGTGCGATCTTCCAAAAAATTACTGTAGTACATTTCTCCAGTGTTCATGAATATACTTCTCTGCTAGGTAGGTATGTTATAATTTGAAATATTTCACATTTTTAATAGGACTTTAGTTTAATACTCTTAAGAAGTCTAAATACTTGCCCAATTAAGTTGTGTAAGTGATTAAGAAGTAGTCCTGAATGATACCATGGAGCAATTATAATGTGTTTGTTGCAGCCCAGATGGGAGTTGGAGAAGGCAAATCCATAGGCCAATGGTATGGACCAAATACAGTTGCACAGGTACTCAAGTAAGTATTCAGTAGCTCCAACAGTTATGGTTTTAGATATAAAATAAAGCAATTAAATAACTACCTACCCAAAAGAAATTTTAAAGTTGAATTTCTACTCAGCATGTTTCCAAAATTCTGTGTCTAGTTTTGGGATATTAAATTCCATGGGAGATTTCTAGAGTTTGTGGGTAGTTGACCAATCTTCTAGTTCTAGCTTGTGCCCCGAACCCCCCTGAGCAATTGTATTATTCTTTGCAGCTATATTTGCTCAGTTTTGTGCTATGCTTAATGTTACTTAGGGTAGAGCTATACCTAAAGAATCTTATCACACTATCTATTAGTATCTGTCTGAATTAGTTTCATTACTTGTTTTGTGAGGAAGTCGATAACAGGTTTTCATTCTGTTAATATTAGTACTTGCCTAGAAAAACGTTCCTCAGCCTCAAACAGTTCTATCCTGACAATGATACAGTAGATCAGTTTTATATTAAGACAAACTGATGGAGAAGACAGTAGCCTTGTAATTTCAGGAATATTAAATGAGATAGTTTTCCTTGAATCTTTCGTCTCCGGTTTACATGTGGTGATGGTCTTGATCACTTTTTTTGGATATTCTGTACTAGGAAAGAGAGAGAGGGAATAGGATTCTATTGGATCTTTCTGTGAATTTTGATATTGTTGACTACAGTAACTTGTTGGAGTGCTTATGATAGCTGGAGGTTGAAGGTTCCATCTGGTACTTCCGTTTCAGTCTCTCTGGGTGGAAATAAAGTGATACTGTATTGTAAGGCTTTTCCTTGGGAATGGGCCTGTTGGGGGGGAGGGGCTCAGAAGATTCAACTTTGTCTTCTATATTAGTGCCAACATGAAGACTGCTGGAAAGATAATTCACAGTTTGAAGCTAGTTGTCATCAATATACTGAGATACTATTTCTTGTAGACCGTTAATTGGATATCACTAGAGTCTCTGTCTCATGATGTTCATTTATTCTGTCTTCATGCCAGAGGAATTTATGCTAGCTATTATGCCAATTATATGTTTATGTTTAGCTTTCCCTTTATATCATGCCTTGAAACATAGTTGTCTGGGCAATTTATAGAATGAATAGCTTTTCAAATCTACCAATATGTATATTCCATGTAGTTCACTATTTCCAAGAATTTTAGAAAAGCCACTGAGACTCAATATTGTACCGAAATGTTAAAATTAAGTTCATGTAACTCCTATAATATTGATTATACCTTTCTTCTGCCTGTATTTCTCACCCCTTCTCTGTGACCTGCTTGATCAGGCCAAACATTTATCTTATTCAGCATCTCTCTCTCTCTCTCTCTCTCTCTCTCTCTCTCTCTCTCTCTCTCTCTCTCTCTC